AGGGGTGGGGTTGGGGCGGGGCTGGGGGCGGGGAAGGGGCGGAGTTGGGGCAGGGCCAGGGGCGGGACCGGGGCCCCGTGGAGTGTCCTCTTTTTTAAATGTTTGAATATGGTAACCCTACCCAGGGAGCGACTGCAGACTCCTTCCCCGCAGCCCCCTTCTGCTGCCCACGTCCCTTCTTTATACTCACCCGCCTGCTCCAGCCCCTGGCTCTGACGGTGCAGCCTGGCGCCATCTCAGGCCCACACGAAGCCATTCGGGGCCTGGGTGGGGCACACACCCCACCACACTGCGACACGCGATACAATGAACATAAGGGAACACGCAACAAGGCCAACACCACACACAGGATAGATTCAGGCGCCGCAGAATTCGATTTGTTTATATACAATTTTGATGGATAATATCGCTCCGTATTTTTAAGTTTTTTTATTTGTATCCAATTATGTGTTTGACACATTCCCCCCCCCCGCCCCATTTTTATCTATTTTAAATTTTCGCAGTAGCAGGAAATTCGGGGGGAGGGGAGAGGCAATAATCCTTGCAAGACGAGTGCTATAGTTTATGTTGGAGGCTCCCACGGGACGGAGAACGCAGCCTGCCGGCATAGGTGGGTTTTCTGGGTTATAAACGCTGTCGTTGTGTGAATCCCGCCGCGTCCAGTGACTGTGAATGAACAGTGCCGCACCTCCCCGTGTTGAGCACCAGTGGGTGGCACGAGGGGTCTCACGCACGCACGGCTGCACTGGTTTTTCTGAGCAAGCCGCGGGCTGGATTGTTGAGTGATCAGGGCCCAGCGGGGAGGGGATGAAATCTGCTGTGTGTAGGGCGACCAGACAGCAAGTGAAAAATCAGGACAGAGGGTGGGGGGGTAATAGCCTATATAAGAAAAAGCCCCAAAATCGGGACATCTGGTCACCCTAGCTGTGTGCAGCGAACAGAGCTGGGCTTGGCCTTGCTGGAGGAGGAGATGAGCCGTGTGGATCCCTGCCGGGGGTGAGCTGCCCGGTGGCACAAGGTTAGGGTTACCATATTTGCACAATCAAAAAAAGAGGAAACGGGGGGGAGGATCCCCGCTTTAGCCCCGCCCCTGCCCTGCCCTGCCCCCATCCACTCCCTCCCTCTTCCCACCCCCTGACTGCCCCCCTCAGAACCCCCAACCCCCCCTGCTCCTTGCCCACTGACTGCCCCCTCCTGGGACCCCTGCCACTAACTGCCCCCCTAGGACCCTACCTGTCCCCTGACTGTCCCGACTCTTATCCACACCCCCACCCCATATTCACACCCCCGCCCCCAGACAAACCCCCGGGACTCCCATGCCCTATCCA